CTTTTCCATAGCAGATGATATCAGTTCACCAACTTCCTGATCCCCATTAGCAGAAATTGTAGCAACTTGTGCAATCTCTTCTGGAGTGGTCACTTGGCGGGAAAGGCTCCGTAGATTATCAACAATGCAGTCAACTGCCACCATTACACCACGCCTTTAAGCAAAAACATTTTTTTTTTTATTTAAAAGCTCTTGCAGAAAGTGTGAAACGTTTATTAAAGCTTTTCTTCAGAATTGGATCTGAGTGATCAAGAGGTTTCACTTAAGTATTTTATGTCATCATACAAATTTTACCCAGACCTGCAAGTCAAACAGCAAATCAAGCCAATTAGGCTGTCACCACATATAACCAACACCCCACAAAGCAGCTGCACAGTTTCTGTAGCACTTCTTAATTGTCATATTGCGCTCTTTTAGATTATAAAATCTCATTGACATCATCCTATACTTAAGAGTTCAAGGAAATAAATCAGTTTGATAAGAATTAACAGTATACAAAAGCACTTTGGAAGCAATACATTAGAGAAAATGATTCACCTAAGAAACACCAGTTATTGCTTTTTCTTTTAAGCTTTGTATTATAATACAATAACCTAAAATTTCAATGAGTCAACAAGAATGATTGAGAAAGGGACAGAAAGAAAAAAAAAAAAGACAGACAGAGAGAGAGAGAGAGAGAGAGAGAGAGAGAGAGAGAGAGAGAGAGAGAGAGAGAGGGAGAGACGAGAGAGAAGAGAGAAGAGAGAGAGAGAGAGAGAGAGAGAGAGGAGAGAGAGAGGAGAGAGAGAGAGACAGAGAGAGAGACAGAGAGAGAGAGAGAGAGAGAGAGAGAGAGAGAGAGAGAGGAGAGAGAGAGAGAGAGAGAGAGGACAGAGAGAGAGAGAGACAGAGAGAGAGAGACAGAAGAGAGAGAGAGAGAGAGAGAGAGAGAGAGAGAGAGAGAGAGAGAGAGAGAGAGAGAGACAGAGACAGAGAGAGAGAGAGAGACAGAGAGAGACAGAGAGAACACATTCCTCACCGGCAATATGTGACAAAGCCTACAGATCAGCCTTGGTTTGGCTTTCGTTGTAGAGAGGCTGCTACTGCTAAGTACAAAGCATGGCGAAGGTATAAGAGACATCCTACACCTATAACAGGAACTTGCACATGCAAGCCTGTAGGCATATGGGTGATGTTCAAAAGTGGGCCATTGCTAAATGGGAGTTGGACACTAAAAGAAAGTTAGCATCAGGTAGGGTAGGCTCCAAAACCTGGTGGTCCCTGGTCAAGGACAGACAAGGTTATCTGCCTGATAAATTTTATTCCACCTCTAAAATCGACAGGATGGGACCACCTCTACTAGTAGTCAAGAAAGCGGACCTCTTTGCTGAACATTTTGCTACCAAAATGCAAGTTCCTGATCCAGCAAGGGACCCTCCTTGGCTAGCTGCAAGAACTGTATCAAAACTGTCAGGGGTGACAAAAAGGGCAGGAGGAGGTGCATTTCCTTCTTAAATCACTTGACCAAGAAAAGGCTGGGGGGCCAGACAAGTTGAGCCCAAGATTGTTGAGAAGATGTGCAGACCAGTAGCAGCACCTCAAAACTCGCATTTTTTCAGCACTGCCTAGTACAGTGCAAATGGCCCTCTCCATGGAAAGAGGCAAATGTAGCCCCTGTTCACAAAAAGAAGAGCAGAGCAGAAATCAGCAACTACAGACCAGGGGTCACTCCTGTCAATCACTGGTAAGACCCTTGAGACAATAATCTCAAGACAAATGACAGATTTTTTTGACTACCACTCACTACTTTGTGATCGTCAATTGGCTTCAGGAAAGGTTACTCTGTTTGCTGATCTGTTGTTAAACCTCTCCATAAGTGGCACCAGTCACTGGATGAATCCAAAGTCAGCTGTGTGGTAGCACTGGACATTGCTGGCGCTTTCGACCGGGTGTGGCACCGGGGCCTCTTAGCAAAACTTCAAGCACTGGGAATTGCGGGCTCTACGCTATGTCTCCTCAGTGATTACCTTCATGGTAGATCTCTAAGTGTAGTCCTCAATGGAAAGGAATCAGCAAGACATCCTATTGGGGCAAGCGTTCCAAAAGGAAGTGTGCTGGGTCCATGTTATGGAATGTCTACTTCAAGGGACCTTCTTCATTCATCCCAGAATCACATGCATATGCAGACGACTGTACATTGACATTCACTTATCCAAGAGAAAAAATTTGCCAGCTGCTCTAAGCTACATCAACCCACCAGCTGAGAGCTATATCAGTTTGGGGGGAAATAGAGGCAAGTAACATTTGCACCTGGAGAAAACGCAAATGATGATCGTCTCTAGGCCCCATGATGGTAATGCTGGTGCAGTAGTAAGGATGAATGGGGAGGATGTTGGCACCTGGAGAAGAAGTTGATATCCTTGGGGTGAAATTTGACTCCAAACTAACCATGAAGAACCATGTTGTAAATCTTGCAAACAAGGCAGCCAGGGAAAATTACAGCACTTCGCCGATCTCGCAT